ACATTCCCCCTATTTGGGGGGCGCTTCCCTACTTCGTAGCGTTTCTGGGCGTTTCTCAGTATCGTTGGTTGGCAACACAGCGCGGCTGTGTTGCCTTCAAGCACCGTTTCAAGCAAGCTCCAGGTGAGAATAAAATTCAACGGGCCATCTACAGGTCTGCTTCTCTTCTCCTGAGTCGCCTTAATGCCATGTTAGCTGCTGTGAACTACGCATGAGTAACTGGAAGAGGGCATTGACGAAAGAGGCTCTGGGTAGGCCTTACTCCTTGTGGAAAAATTTGGTTATGCTCGCCGCACTAGGAAATTGGACGACCGCATGTATGCAAAAACGAAACACCTGGAGAAGAAATATACAAATGCCGTCTTCACAATAAAAGGCCGCATACACTGTATTAAGGAGGCGGCAGAAACAACGGGAAAGTGGGCAACACAACTAGGAGGGTACCCAACACATCTTCCGCTCAAAATAAAATGACGCGCAGGGCATCATTGGCCCTACACTGCGAAACAACAATATTGAGCATTGAGGCGCCGAGATGAATTTTCATCTATTGCACATACACATGCGGCCAAAAAGGAAAATATAATCCGCGTACACTTCAAAAAGCAGAAACATGTGGCGAAGCATGGAAGTGGAGCGCGCCTATCTCCAAAGTGCACATAACTCAAAAGAACCTCAAGCACCGACAACGCCCGCATAAAGAAAAGGGGCCCTCGCAAAACGTGGGGGGCCCTCTTGTGGAGGTTCACTTATGGGTGCATGATGCCAAAGACTCTCTCCGGGGTCCCTCAGTGTTTTTACAGTGACGGCGCTTTCCCGGAAATGTAGCGGAGCTTGGTTTGCATTTGCTTTGCGGTGTCCATCCCCTCAATCAGCTTTTGCCTGGCCCGTTCTCCATGTGCTCCCTCTGCCTGAGCTGCTGGCTGCAGAGCCTTGAGATGGCGTGTCCAGCTGTCCGCGCAGGCATTAGCCGCCAACATCAGGGAATCTTCCGCTTCCTGGATAGCTGCTGAAAGACTTTTTAAAGAGTTTTGAACACCACTCAGTCCAAAGAAATCAGGAAACATGCTTTTCGTGTCATCGTATACCTTCTGAGCTGATTTTACAGCTTCTCTCAAGCCCATCATTGTTTGAAGTTCAGGGTCGCTTGGCTGGAGAAGATGTCCACTGCGCGCCTTTTCTAGATGCCTGGAGGAACCGACGAATCTAGATCTAAGGGAGCTTGCCTTCACTTCGCAAACATCAATGCAACTACCTTCCCTTTGTTGAGCGAGACGCGTTGCCGTTTTCCTACACTGATCTAGCGTTTTAAGGAACTCTTGACGGTCTTCTTCCCCAACATCACCAGCAAAAGTGACTGCTTGCAGCGCCGCTAGGAATTTGACGCCGTCACGCAGAACCTCGTCATACTCAGTCCCTCCAACTCTAACGCTAGATGCTGCGTCATCTGCGCCAGACAACCACGAATTCATGTACGTGGACTTCCCGTAAACGTCGAGCAGATCCAAATGGACAGCGCTAGAATAACCTGCTGGGAGGGATGGTGTTGACGGCGCTGAAGCTGCCGCTTCTGCTCCGGAAGGCGCGCCTGCAACAGCTTCCGGCATAGGGCCGGCTGCCCCAGCAACGTCTTGTTGCTGCTGCTGCTGCTGTTGTTGCTCTTCACGGTCTTGTGGAGCATCGCAGGGGTCATGCCGTCCATGATCTGAAAGACGGCGACCACTTGCTCCTTTAGACGCACTTGACATTGTTGAAATGTGGTAGAAGCATCTTAAGACCAAAAATGTGGCAACAAATAGCGCTAGCATAAGGGCAACCCCCGTAATAACGGGACGGGTGGGGGAGGAGGCATTCAGTATTGGCTGTGAGACGTCATGTTCCATCCCCGTCGAGGGGGAAGGCATATAACTGAGAAATGCATCATGGACAGAAGAAGCTTCCGCTGCACCTGAAGTGCCTTGCATCTCCAGGTGTTCGCTCGGAGGCGTAGCGCCAGGAGTAACGGGGGTTGCTGGCAACATTCTTCGTCTTATATGCAAAATATGCCTCCCCACAGGAATTAGAAAAATGAAAAAAACTGCGCGTAATTCGCGACTTTCAGGTTATGTCTTCAACTAGACACCAAACGCCTCAGAAAGCATCTTTCTACCCCGGCGCAGCTTCCAGCTGCGGGGGCAGTATTCCAACGCAAAACCAAAAGCAGGAGTGTCAAGAAGCACAGAAAAGCAGCGTCCTTTAGTTCAAGAAAATGCCCTCTTAGTAAATATTAATAGCTGTAATGCTCTGCATCTTTTCACCTTTCTTTCATTGCGTGGCCTCTTTCCCATTTCGATTCAAGAAACTTTTCCGCTTCCCGTTGTGCTGCGGCAGCATGTCTCGATAAAAGGCTCGTAACCACTAACAAATCACCATTGTAATTTTGTTCTATTGTTTGAAAGCTTTGTTTGCTGTGGCCGTTGTACCATCGCTGTCCCCCTTCAGTGACTTCTCCGTAGTGGATTCCGAACTATACACCAGTAGACGGGAAACGGGGCATGAAAAAAGACACGTGACCTGTATAACCTTCTTCGACAGCAGTTCGCCACACTTTTGTACTTCGTTCTATTATTATGTGGCATTTAGACACCCGTTTCTACGCCTTGTCCTTTTCATGCTGCCAGGTACAACACTGGCCTTCCGGCATTGTTCTAGCACAGAAGCGTAATGTAACGCATGTAGGGACTTGAGGAAGGCGTTTCCCCAAAGCAGCTGACCTCACTGTCCTGCCCCCTAGTCATCCAGGACGTTGAGCGCATGGCCTAGAGCTGTGGGGGAGGCGGCAGCCTAATAAATGGAGTTGCAGCGCACCTCGCTGTTGCTGGCGATGCAAGCTAGCCTGACGCGTGGACACAAGGAATTTCCGATGAAGCTTCTTTTACTGCATGAATTACCTCTGTATACACGTATGGAGCACTTCTACTCACTTAGGAGTAGCACACGAAGGCCAAGTGAAGTACCCTGTGCTAGCTGCAGGCAGACCACGCTTCACCAAGTACCGCACCTGTAGCATGCTCAGCAGCATGGCCTGCGTGAGGGGGGGAGTATGCCCCGCGTTAAGGGGGGATATGCACATCTACTTAGAGGCAGGTTGTCTAGTAAGGGCCAAATAAGCGCTTAGAAAT